CAGCAATCAGACAACAAAAAGAAGTCAAAGGCATTCATATTGTCAAAGAAGTCAAGAGCTCTCTCTCTTTGCAGATGACATGATACTTTATGTGGAAACCCCAAAAGACTCCACTCCCAAATTACTAGAACTCATTCAGCAATTCAGCATGGCAATATACAAAATCAATGCCCATAAATCAGTTGCATTTCTATGCAACAACGAGACTAAAGAAACATAAATTAAGGAATCAATTTCATTTCCAACTGCATCATAAACCATAAGATACCTAAGAATAAACCTAACCAAAGATGTTAGGTTATATTTCAGAAACTACAAAACACTTCTGAAAGAAATTGAAGAAGACACAAAGAGGTGGAAAAACATCCCATGCTCATGGGTTGGAAGAATAAATATTCTTAAAATGTCTAATGATGTATTGTATGTTGGGTACCTGAACACAGTAAAAAAAAAAAAAGTAGATGTGGTGTATATATAGTAGAATATTATCCAGCCACAAAAAAGAATGAAATCTTGCCATTTGCAACAACATGGGTGGATCTAGATGGCATAATGCTAAGTGAAATAAATCAGTCAGGGAAAGGCAAATGTCATATTATTTCACTCAGATGTGGAATTTAATAAACAAAACTAATAAAGAAAAAAGGAAACAAAACAGACTCCTAACTACAGAGAAGAAACTGGTGGTTGCCAGAGGAAAGGTGGGTGTCGGGATAAATGAAATGAAATGGATTAAGCGTAAACTTATCTTTATGAGGATTGAGAAATCTGTAGAATTATTGAATCTTTATATTGTACATCTGAAACTATATAACACTGTATGTTAATTATACTCCAATCAAAAAAAAAAAAAAACTAATTCATTTTCTACCAAAGAGAAAGAGAAAGAGGGATTTTTCTCTCTACCAAACAGAGAAAGGAAAGAGAAAAATCACTGTAACTAGGTGCACTTTAGAGGCCAAATGATCACCTTTCTTTATTTTTTAAAAGATTTTATTTATTATTTGACAGGGAGAGACACAGCAAGACAGGGAACACAAAGCAAAGGGAGTGGGAGAGGGAGAAGTAAGCTTCCCGCTGCTGAGCAGTTAGCCAGATGAGGGCCTTGATCCAGGACCCTGGGATCATGACCTGAGTTTAAGGGAAGATGCTTAATGATGGAGTCATCCAGGTTCAGTCAAAAGCCCCCAAGTGATCACCTTTTAAATACCAAGTTGTGAAAGGAATTATACATGAAGTAGAAATAAAAGGCATCTGAATTGCCAAAGAAGAAGTCAAACTCTCACTCTTTGCTGATGATATGAGACTTTATGTGGAAAACCCAAAGACTCCACTCCAAAACTGCTAGAACTCATACAGGAATTCAGTAAACTGTTAGTATATAAAATCATGCACAGAAATCAGATGCATTTCTAAACACCACCAACAAGACAGAAGAAAGAGAAATTAAGGAGTTGATCCCATTTACAATTGCACCCAAAACCATAAGATACCTAGGAATACATCTAACCAAAGAGGCAAAAAGTCTGTACTCAGAAAACTATTAAGTACTCATGAAAGAAATCGAGGAAGACACAAAGAAATGAAAAAACGTTCCAAGCTCATGGATTGGAAGAACAAATATTGTGAAAATGTCTATGCTACCCAAAGCAATCTACACATTTAATGCAATCCCTATCAAAATACCATCAATTTTTTTTCAAAGAAATGTAACAAATAATCCTAAAATTTATAAGGAACCAGAAAAGACCCCGAATAGCCAGAAGAATGTTGAAAAAGAAAGCCAAAGTTGGTGGCATTACAATTCTAGACTTCAAGCTCTATTACAAAGCTGTCATCGTCAAGGCAATATGGTACTGGCACAAAAACAGACACATAGATCAATGGAACAGAATAGAGAGCCCAGAAATGGACCCTCAACTCTAGGGTCAACTAATCTTTGACAAAGTAGGAAAGAATGTCCAATAGGGGGGAAAAAAAAAGTCTCTTTAGCAAATGGTGTTGGGAAAATTGGACAGCCACATGCAGAAAAATGCAACTGAACAATTTCCTTACACCGCACACAAAAATAGAATCAAAATGGATGAAGGACCTCAATGTGAGAAAGGAATCCATCAAAATCCTTGAGGAGAACCACAGGCAGCAACCTCTTCAACCTCAGCTGCAGCAACTTCTTCCTAAAGACATCACCAAGGGCAAGGGAAGCAAGGGCAAAAATGTACTTTTGGGACTTCCTCAAGATCAAAAGCTTTTGAACAGCAAAGGAAATAGTCAACAAAACCAAAAGACAACTGACAGAATGGGAGAAGATATTTGCAAATGACATATCACATAAAGGGCTAGTATCCAAAATCTATGAAGAACTTATCAAACTCAACACCCAAAGAACAAGTAATCCAGTCAAAAAATGGGCAAAAGTCATGAACAGACATTTCTGCAAAGAAGACATCCAGATGGCCAACAGACACATGAAAAAGTGTTCAACATCACTCGGCATCAGGGAAATGCAAATCAAAACCACGGTGAGATACCACCTCACACCAGTCAGAATGGCTTAGATTAACAAGATAAGAAACAACAGGTGTTGGCGAAGATGTGGAGAAAGGGGAACCCTCTTAGACTGTTGGGAGGAATGCAAGCTGGTACAGCCACTCTGGAAAACAGTATGGAGGTTCCTCAAAAAGTTGAAGTGATCCAGCAATTGCACTACTGGGTATCTACCCTAAAGATACAAATGCAGTGATCTGAAGGGGCATGTGCACCCAAATGTTTATAGCAGCAATGTCACAATAGCCAAACTATGGAAAAAGCATAGATATCTATCAACAGATGAATGGATAAAGAAGATGTGGTGTGTGTGTGTGTGTGTGTGTGTGTGATGGAATACTATGCAGCCATAAGAAACACAGATCTTGCCATTTACAATGACATGGATGGAACTTTAGAGTACTATGGGAGGCGAAATATGTCAATCAGAGAAAGACAATTGTATGATCTCACTGATATAAGGAATTTGAGAAACAAGACAGAGGATCATAGGGGAAGGGAAGGAAAAATGAAACAAGATGAAACCAGAGAGGGAGACAAACCATAAAACACTCTTAATCTCAGGAAACAAACTGAGGGTTGCTGGATGGGAAGGGCGTGTGAGGAATTGGGTGGCTGGGTGATGGACATTGGGGAGGGTATGTGCTATGGTGAGCACTGCAAATTATGTAAGTGATGAATCACAGACCTGTAACCCCTGAAACAAATAACACATCATATGTTAAAAAATAAATATATGTATCAAAATTAGTTTACAGCTTACCTGAAATACATCTGAAATCAAGCTGAATTGTTGGATTAACAGAGGGATGGATAGTTCAATGTATATGTGATCTAATAAATACAACAAAATGGTCATTGGAGAATTTGATGGTGATTGTTCTATATGATTCTTCCAACTTTTCTGTACATTTGAAATGTTTTATTAAATATTGGAAGAAACATAAAAAAAGAATTTTATGTTGTATATGATTTGTTACAACTCATCTTTCAAACTCTAAGGTTGTTTAAAGAAATATATTCTGTAGGTAGGTAAAGTGATATAAAGTATTTCCCTGTACCTAGGTCTTATATTTTTTCAAAAATTGCTAAGCTGATGGAGTATGTATGTATTCGACTTAAAAATTTTTCTGTGTATCATTGAGAGGCACCAAGAATGTTATAAAAAATCACTTTAAATCTATCTCTGGGATCTACAATGACTGTATATTTTGTACTGAGCCCCTGTATATGAAAGATCAAATTCTTAAATATAGAAATTTAAATTCCTATTGATTCTTTCCAGTAAAACATTAGCCTATCAATATAAACACATTTGAGATGATACAATAATTTTGGATACTGGAAAAAAATCCAATTTAATACATAGGTGTATTATTTCATTTAATTTTATTTCATTTGGATTTTTAAGTAGATAAGAAACCAAAATAATAATTAATATCTATGTATAGTAAAAGTTGACAACATATTTTAAAAATAAATAAAACAGTGGCACCTGGGTAGTTAGTTCAGTCGGTTAAGCCTCCAACTCTTTAAAAAATATTTTATTTGTTTATTTGACAGAGAGAGAGAGAGCACAAGTAAGCAGAGCATCAGGGAGAGCGGGAGAGAGAAGCAGGCTCTCTGCTGAGCAGGGAGCCTGGTGTGGGGCTCAATCCTAGGACCCTGGAATCATGACCCGAGCTGAAGGCAGCCACTTAAGCAACTGAGCCACCCGGGCGCCGCATGCATCCAACTCTTGATTTCAGCTCAGGTCATGATATCAAGGTCATGGAAATCGAACCTGGCCTCGGGCTTCCTGCTTGGCACAGAGTCTGCTTGTCCCTCTCCCTCGGCTCCTCCCCCACCTCACGCTCTCTCTGTCTCAAATAAATAATCTTAAAAAAATTAAAACAAATTTCCACATAATTAGGAGCATATTATATCAGCATCAGCATGATCATCCATCAATCTCAGGGCCAAAAGGGAAAACAAGATCACATAAAGACACTGGACTACTACTCATTCAATATTTATAAGTTTTTTCCTTATTCTTTTCAATATTCCTTTTAGTACTAGCATCAATTTAACTTGATATTCATTACTAACAACATTCCCATACAGAGTATGTCCTTAGAGTTTATAAATCTTTCATAGTTCAACTACAGCTAGTGGTATGATTTGTAGTTTTATTAAATATTTACCTATGATTCGTAGGTTTACTAAATATTATATAAGGAATAAAGACCTTGTTGTGACCTCTTCAATGAATTTCCAGTTTTAATGTGAAAAAGATAAAGCAAGATATTTTCTAAATTTAAATTATTTTACCTGGAAGTGTAAGAAATGTATGAAGATGACTTTTTTCTATATAACATCATATAAAATGTATTTGCAAAAATATGACACTTAAATAAACATGACATTATCAAAACATGCATTGATCAAATTTTATTTAATTTGTTTTGCATCACACCTGAAGATATTACAGGACTATTAGTGAATAGAAGCAAGCTGGAGCTTCAGCATAGAGCTCCTTTCTTAACATCAGCAACAAAAAAGCTTTGCTCTTGAGTTTCAAGTTTGTTCCAGATGGTAAAGAAGAATTCTGAAAATAAACCAAGTAATTAGAACTTTCATTTAATTCAGCCTCTAATATACACACATACATTTTTGAAACCTTCAGTTTTATGTATCTCTTGTTATTAGAGCATATGTTACATTAATTGCATGCCATTTAAAAAATATTATTTGGAACTTTTAGTTTTCAAAATCAGTGATCTTTCTCTCAATGCCAAAAAGTTGATTTTAGCTGGACTTTGGGAAGGACTCACACCTTCAGCAAATTATATAGTTAGGCTTCTCTAAGCCACCTTTTTGACGAGGACTTGGTCTGCTTTTAGCAAAAATACTGTTCAGCTAACTTGGTAGGAACGCTCCTACACTTGATGTCTCCTTTTGCAATTTCATATTGACTTCATCACTCTGCTCATTGGCTGTAAATCCCCAGCTCTCTTTGCTGTATTTGGAATTGAGTTCAATCTCCGTGCCATATTCAAGTAGTCCTGAATAAAGTCATCAAAAACTAATGATGTACTCTATGGTGACTAACATATCATAATACAAAAAATAAAGCCTTCATTATCATTTAAACAAACGTCAGAATAATTTTTTAACAGCATTGTTAAAAAGGGAAAGGGCTTGCCTTATTTTTTATTACAGCCAAAGCCTTCCAAAGGTATAGATCCTACTCACTTTTGCCTTAATTCTGGTCTAATTTGAAGAATTAAAATATTATTCTTGGTTGAAACTGACATTGTCTACTCTGTATTAAGGCACATCCTGCTACTGTAAAAAAGCACTACATTTTATCCAACAACACTGTTCAAATACTATTCCTGCCCCTACTTCTCCAGGGATCTGTTTTTACTTATGCCAGTCATTAATCAACAAAAATATTTCCTATATATTTTTCTGAATAGTTCACTGCCTTCCCAGGTCCTGATTAACTCTTGGATCAGTGATAAATTTTGAGTAGTGCTATCCAATATGGGAACCACAAACCACATATGGCTATTTAGATTTAAACTAATTAAAATTAAAGATCTAGATTCTTAGTCACACTAGCCACATCTCAAGAGTTCAACAACTGCATATGACTCACAATTCCCTTATTAGAAGGCACAGGTACAGAAAATTTCCATTATCACAGGAAATTCTACTGGGGAGTGCTATGGAGCTAAAGTTGTAATTGACACGAAAGAGGTGGTTTGGGAGAATTTTTTTAAATGGAGCCAGTAATAGATTGAATTTGTTCATTGAATTTCCTCTTCCAGTAGCTCTAAGATCTGGATTTTTAAAGAGTCAGCTGCAATTATTTGTATATGGTTCTGAGTATTCGTTGATTCCCCTTATATCATCAAATAATAAGCGGCATGTTTCTCAACTCTGGCAGCACATTTGAATCACCTACAGAGAATCTGGTTTAATTGGTCGGGGGAAGGGAACAGAGAATTAGTGTTTTCTAAAAGCATTCCAGATGAATTCTATTTTGTAAACTGCCTTGAGAAGCACTAAATTAGCATATATGTTAGCTCATTTAATCAAATGATTACATAATATATATGGCACTGTTATCTGGGTAGTCCATAGGGGAAAACTGAGAAGCTGGAATGGATGCAGTTTAAGTAATCCCAGCAACTGCCATTCATGAGTACAGATTGCTATGTTGGACTAAAATTTATGTTAAAAATTAATTCTTGAGAGAAACATAAAATTCACATTGCTCACTACCCAATTATTTGGCAACTTGCAATAACAATTTTACTATTCGTTTCTGCATATATTCTCTCCAAAACCCTCACAACAGTTGTTAACATGTCTCATTCTTGTATTACCTCTGGGATGTTTCAGTTTCAGAAAATAGATAATCAGTCATTAGTGAAGAATCATTCCATTTATTTTCTACTAGCTGATACTTTAAGCTCAATTTATGATTTCCATTTGTCATATAAGCTATGTGTTTTTTACTACTGTGTAAATTATAAACATTATCTTTAAATGAGATATTTTAGAAAATAACCTTATTTCATTAATTTTTCCATTTTATGTTTCTGAAGAAGTCTATTTTTTCTTTAATTTTTGACACAAAATGGAACTCCATGTACTTAGATTAATATCAATGTTCAGTGATCTAATTTTGGCAGAGATGTGTGTGTGTGTGTGTGTGTATTCAAATTTCAAAAGGATATTTTATAAATTTAAATACTCATGTCATTAATAATCCAGATTGGATTTAAGACCATGTCATCCAATAGTATTACTCTCTCCAGGGCACAGGGAAAATGATGTGGTTAAAAATAATATTTTAATGTTATTAACATTGATTGGCAAGAATCATGTCTTTAAAATTATTAGCACTTAAATTTTGTGCCATTTCAAATTCTACAAAATATGCTCTATCAGGTTATTGTCATGAGGCATTTATGTTTACTTCCTCTCCTTTTTGAAATTTGTTGTGCAGTGTTCAAACATTAACATTTGAATAAGCTGAATATTTTAATCATTCATCATTTAAAATATAACTTTTTTAAAATTAGAAAAAAGAGAAAGCATTGCAAACATTCAAACTTACCTGCTACCAACTAAACTCCTCCATAATCCGGGTCTACCCTATTTATGTAGGGTATTTCTCACTATTGTTCAATAAGCACCATCCTTTCAAGTTAGTGTTATTTTCATAAAGCTTCCACATTTGCACATTTCATTGCTATTTGCTCATGTTGCTTATCTTGACCAGAACTTAGTTTTTCTCAAAAATAGGGACGTGGTAGAGATTTCGGGCAGCAGAATGTGGCACTTTAAAGAAAAGTTATTGTGTGATTATAAAAAAAAGTGTAATTTCATTATAGTTGACATAATTTTTATTATATGTGACATATGGAAAACATTATTATATATAAATAATAGTAACACTGGAAATGGAAATGGAAAAGCAGTACATGAATCATACAAGTACGTAAACCTATGTTTCTATAGAAATGATACTGGGACCCCTTAACTTAGAGCAATATAAATAGAGTACAATGCTTCTTCAAATTTAGCCTATGTCAGAATCACCCAGAAAACTTGTTAAAACAGATTGCTGGACTTGAACCCTAATGCTTCTGATTCTGTAGCTCTGAGGTAGGGCACAATAATTTGTATTTCTAATATATTCCTAGTTGATGCTCCGGCTGTTAGTCTAGAGACCATACTTTGACAAGCATTGACAGAGAAATTTTAAAAATTTCAAATTCACTGGAATATTGTTTTTTTTTAATACATATGATATTTATCCTTAATATACTTATGGTTCTTCAAAAAATCAGTTTTAACTGAGAGACAATTTGTGTACTGCAAAAGAAAGGGGTCATAAAATTAGTGTTAGGGAGCAAATAGTGGCAATTCCTTTTAGGCAGAAGACTCATGTTTGAGCTGATAGAGATCAAGACTGGAGTCTAGAATAGCTATTTATTCAAATGATGTTTGTAGCCACATTGTTAGAAAACTGAAAACAACCAAAGTGCCCATTTAACTAACACAGGGCTAGTTAAATAAACTATGGTATGCTCAAATATAAAGGACTTAAAAAGAGGGTTGATTTTAACAGAAATAGAAAAAAAAATCCTAAAATTCATATGGAACTCTTAATAACCCTAAATAGACAAAGCAATCTCAATAATAACAAAGTGGACTCATCACATTTCCTGATTTCAGTCTATTTACAAAGCAGTAGTCTTTAAAAATTACGGTAGTGGCATAAGAATAGGGATCTAGACCTGTGGGACAAAATAGCCCAGACATAAATACATATATAGTCAAAAATTTTTGACATGGGCACCCAGAATATACAATGGAGAAAAGGAAATCTCTTCAATAAATGTACTGGAAAAACTGGAAATCCAAATCTAGAGACTGAAATTGCAACCCTGTTTTATACCACTCACAAAATATGAACTCAAAATTGATCAAAGACTTAGAGGTAAGACCTAAAATTGTAAAATTTCTAGAAGAAAACAAAATTTAGAAGATCGTTGACATTGGTCTTTGCAATGATTTCTTGCAAAAGATACCATAAGTAGACAACAAATAAACAAGTGGGACCACATCAAACTACAGAGCTTCTTAATAAAGGAAGCAATCAATTGAAAAGGCAACCTACCATTGGGGAATAAATATTTGCAAGCCATATGTGTAGTTAGGGGTTAATATCCAAATTATAAAGAACTCCTATAACTCAATAGCAAAAAAGCAAATATTCCAATAAGAAATAGGCAAAAGAATGGAATAGATTTTTTTTCCAAAGAAGACATAGATAAGGCCAATCAGTATTTGAAAAGTTTCTCAACACCACTCATTATCAGAGAAATGCAAATTGAAAGCAATATATCACCTCACATCTATTAAGATGGCTATTATCAAAAAGATAAGAAATAACAAATGTTGGCAAAACTGTGGAGAAAAGGAAACTTATACACTGTTGATGGGAGTGCAGATTGGTATAGCCATTATGGAAAACGGTTTGGAAATTTTTTTTTAATAAAACATAGAGCTAACATGATTCATCAATCCCATTACTGCGTATATAGCTGAAGGAAATGAAATCTGTATCTTGAAGAGATGTCTGCAACCCCATGTTCATTACAGCCTTACTCCTAAGAGCCAAGATATGGAAATAACTAAATGTTATTTGGCAGTTATTTGGATAAAGATAATATGATACACACACACACACGCACACATGCACACATGCACACACACACACGTTCATGCACACACACAGGAATATTATTTTCAGCCATAACAAGGGTGTAAATCTTGTCAATGCCACATGACTAACTCTAAAGGGATTTATGCTAAGTGAAATACATCAGAGTGAGAAAGACATACACTGTACAATCTCACTTAAATAAGTAATCTAAAAAAACCCAAACAAACCAATATCATAGAAATAGTAAATAGAATAGAGGTTGCCAGGGACTGGTGGAAGGAGGAAACAGGGTGATATTGTTCAAAAGGTACAGAATTTCAGTTATAAGAAGAGTAAGTTCATAGGATCTAATGTACAACATGGTAACTTATAGTTAGTAATATGGTATGGTATATTTGAAAGTTGTGGAAAATAAATCTTACATTCACACCACACACAAAAAATCACTAACTATTTGAGGAGATGGATGTGTTATCTTTTCAAAATTTAGTTATTAACTTTTAATGGAGAAAAAATTGATATATATTAGCCTCAGTACAACGTAGTGATTTGATATTTCTCTACATATTACAAAATGATTACTGCAATAAATCTAGTTAACTTCCAACACCATACATATGGTATATGTCTTTTTCTGACTTACTTCATTTAGTGTAACACTCCCTAACTCTATCCATGTCATTGCAAATGGCAAGATTTTGTTCTTTTTTATGACTACTATTCTATTGTGTATATATACCACATCTTCTTTGTTCACTCATCAGTCGATGGACATGGCCTGTTTCCATAATTTTGCTATTGGAAATAATGCTGCTATAAACATATGGATGCATGTGTCCCTTCAAATTAGTTAGTATTTTTGTATTCTTTGGTAAATACCTAGTAGTGCAATTGCTGGATTGTAGGGTAGTTTTATTTTTAAGCTTTTGAGGAACTTCTGCACTGTTTTCCACAGTGGCTACACCAGTTTGCATTCCCACCAACAGTGCAAGAGGTTTCCCTCTCTCCACATACTCGCTGACTTCTATTGTTTCCTGTGTTGTTAATTTTAACCATTCTGACAGATGTGAGGTGGTATCTCACTGTAGTTTTCATTTGTATTTCCCTGATGGTCAGTCATACTGAATATCTTTTCATGCGTCTGTTGGCCATCTTCTTTAGAAAAATGTCTATTCATGTCTTCTGCCCATTTTTTAACTTATTTGTTTTTTGGGTGTTGAGTTGTTATCAGTTCTTTATATATTTTGGATACTAACCCTTATCAGATATGTCATTTCCAAATATCTTACCTGTTACATTGGTTACCTTTTAGTTTTGTTGTTTCCTTTACTGTGAAGAAGGTTTTTTATTTTATTCAAGTCCCAGTAGTTTATTTTTGCTTTAGTTTCCTTTGTCTCAGGAGACAGACCTAAAAAGGAAGTTGACATTGGCTATGACCAATGTCAAAGAAGTTACTGTCTTTGTTGTCTTCTAGGATGTTTATGGTTTCAGGTCGCACATTTAGGACTTTAATCTGTTTTGAATTTATTTATGGTGTAGGAAAGTGGTCCAGTTTCATTCTTTTTGCATGTTGCTGTCCAGTTTTCCCAACACCACTTGCTGAAGAAACTGCTTTTTTTTTTTTTTTTTTAGTAGGATATTCTTCCCTGCTTTGTCAAAGATTGATTGACCATAAAATTGTGGGTTCACTTCTGGGTTTTGTATTCTATTCCATTGATCTATATGTCTATTTTTCTATTTTATACTGTTCAGATCACTACAGCTTTGTGATAAAACTTGAAGCCCTGAATTGTGATGCCTCCAGCTGTGCTTTTCTTTTTCAGGGTTGCTTTGGTTATTTGGGGCCTTTTGTGGCTCCATACAAATTTTAGGATTGTATGTTCTAGCTCTGTGAAAAATGCTGGTGGTATTTCGATAGGGATTGTATTAAGTGTGTAGATAGCTTTGAATAGTATATACATTTTAACAATATTTGTTAACCCAGAAAGTCTTTCCATTTCTTTGGGTCATCTTCAGTTTATTTTATTGGTGTTTTATAGTTTTCAGAGTACAGGTCTTTCACCTCTTTGGTTATGTTTATTCCAAGGTATCTTATTTTTGGTTCTATTGTAAATGGGATTCCTTAATTTCTCTTTCTGCTTCTTCATTATTGGTAAATAGAAATTCAACAGAATTCTATATGTTGATTTTGGATCCTGTGACTTAATTCCTTTATCAGTTTGGGCAGTTTTTTGCTGGAGTCTTTCAGGTTTTTTATATAGAGTTTCAGGTCATCTGCAAATAATGAAGGTTGAACTACCTCTTTGCCAATCTGGATGCCTTTTTGTTTTCTGGTTGCTGAGGCTAAGACTTCCAGAGCTATGTTGAATAAGAGTGGTGAGAGCAGACATCCCTGCCTGTTCCTGACTGTAGAGGAAAAGGTCCTTTCATATGTTCCCCATTCACAGTGATATTGGCTATGAGTTTTTCATATATGGCCTGTCTTATGTTGAGGTGTGATCCCTCTAACCCTAGTTTGTTTAGAGTTTTTATCATAAATAGACATTGTATTTTGTCAAATGCTTTTTTTGCTTCTATTGAAAGGATCACATGGTTCTTAATCTTTTTTTTATTAATGTGATGTATCAAGTTGATGGCTTTGTGAATATTGAACGATCCTTGCGCCCAGGAATAAGTCCCACTTGATCATGGCGAATGATATTTTTTAATGTACTTTTGGACTCAGTTTGCTAGTATTTTATTGAGAATTTTTACATCCATGTTCATCAGGGGTATTGGATAGTTTTCTTTTTTAGTGGTGTCTTTATCTGGTTTTGATATCAGGGTAATGCTGGCTTCATAGGGTGAATTTGGAAGTTTCCCTTCCTTTTCTATTTTTTAGAATTAAAAAGAAGTATTAATTCTTTTTTAAATGTTTGGTGGTAGAATTTTCCTGTGAAGCCACTTGGCTTTAGACTTTTGTTTTGGGAGTTTTTGGATTACTGATTCAATTTCTTTGCTGAATATCAGTCTGTTCAAGTTTTCTGTCTTCCTGTTTCAGTTTGGGTAGTTTATATGTTTCTAGTAATTTATCTGTCTCTTCCAGGCTTTCCAATTTGTTGGCCTG